CTCACACACTGGTGCTCAATCAGCCTCAAATTACTACAACCTATATTATTTACAGCATAAGTTATAAAGCCAGCAAAATGCAAATTCGCCCCAAACTGCCCCATCTGAACTATAAACTATACTCCGGGTCAGTGGGTCAATGATGAGGAAAGCCTGTCTGATAAAGCAGGACTCCTCTCAAACACATATTTAAGTTACTGCTATCATTACGTCCCATTAACCCGGAAAAACACAACCCTTAACAAATTAAAATAGGCACTACCCTGACCTGTTGACACTATTCTCTTCAATGTATTATCCTTATCAACTGTAGCTTTAACAGTTTTAGTCCTATTTTACGCATGTGTTTTAGTCTTTAAATGTGCTTTGTTTCGTTTGTTGTTGAGCCATGTCAAAGTAGAATTCATATTTCATTTATTTGCTATGTGGCAGACATTAAAGGTGATCTTATCATCCTATTTTGTATGGGATTTTCTCTTGTACAGGTCTCTATCTAGTAGGGGAAAAGGGGGAGAAGGGTCTTCCTGGTGCAGCGGGTCGCTGTGACTGTGATTCAACTGTTGGAGCTAATAATGCTCCTTTTGGAAGCTACACGCAGCGGGGGGGCCTCAATAAAGTCCCTGCAGTAAGATCCCTCACATAAAAGCACATCCATATTATTCATCTATCCAAACTGAATATTTGTTCCCACTGAAACAATCATGACTCATAACACGCTGACTGTGTATCTGTGCAGATATTTGTGGTAAACAATGAGGAGGAGATGGAGCGTCTGCGTTTAGACGACTCAATAGCATTCAGGAAGGACCAGAGGGTGCTGTACTTCAAAGATAAAGATGGATGGAAGCCCATACAGGTAACAACTATTATGTACTGTACACACTACTAGTGTTTTTACTCGCTAGGATGAAACTAAAGATCTTCAAATAACCAGTGCTGTATTTTTTCAAACTGATGCCAATGAGCACATAAGTGATCATTTACAGCTCACATCAAGACTAAAACTGAGCAGTATTTAAGAGTGAATGTTCATTTTCGACCTCAGAAACAAAGTTTGACTAGAATTTAGATATCTCAACTCAAGGTCCTTTTTCAGGAGCTAAGGAAGACCATGAGACGCAATTGAAAAGCTGTAGGAAAACTAATAAATGGACTTTGACTTAGGATGTATTCGTCCAAACTGGTCTAGATTTGATGGGTAAATGTATATAACTACTACATGCATCATTTTAAGTAAGGGGCTCACTTTCCCCCTAATAAAGTCCAGTTTCAGCGTAATGCCTTAACAATTAAAGTTACGATTCTCTCACTGCCTGAAATGTCAAGTTAGCGTTTGTTGTCCTGCGTGTTCAGCCCTTCCAGCCGTTCCAGTCCACAGAGAAAGTCCCGGACAGAGTTGGTGTGTGTGGAGACGGGAAGGTGCAGGCCCAGCACGGAGAGGAGTGTGATGATGGAAACCAGATTGTCACCGATGCCTGTCTCAGTGAGTTACAAGCATCTGTTGCTCATTTGAACACGTGCACACACGTCCGGTAATGTGGAGGTGAAGAATGATCTACAGACAGTAGGCAGTTTATATTATTCATTTACAGATGTAAGCTTGGCTGAAGTGGAAAAGTTTGTGTATTGTTAAAAGCAGAATGCTACAAAGTGCTATGGATTAAGATTCTACGCACAAAAGATGATGCACATGAAGCATGTGACTTTAATGTCCATTGAAGCTTCTGCTCATCACGGATCTGATGTAACCTTCCTCACATTAATGAAACAAACTGAAATGTCATATTTCTACAATTTGAATATTGTGTTAAAAGAAATACTAGCGCTCTCATATCATCTCGTTGTATATTCTTGCTCTGCAATGGGATAATGATTTTCGGAACATGAATGAATTGGCGGCACCTACTATTTATTTAAATGAACTAGCTCAAAACAATTCAAACTGTAATGAATAAAGACAAGCATTCATTAGCTTACTTGTTTGTTCATTTTCTTGTAATTGGGTTGAAATGTGCTATAAATGAATATGGAAACCAATTCCCTTCATGTTATGTAATACAGTGTAACTAGAATTAAGATAGACAAAACAGAAGGTTAGGCTGTTGCCGCCGCCCTGCTGTTGCGGAGCCAGCTTCCTGCAGAGCTGCAGTGAGTCTGAACCACCTGACGGAGGATAAAAGCAGAACACACACACTGTGAAACCTTTCCTTGATCTTTCATTCATCTCCCCCTCTCTTTTCCTGCCATCCTCTCACTTCTCCTCTGTTCAATTAAATTAGCAGCAAAATGCTGTATTGGCATCACTGTAAAACACGCAGGAGGAGTGCCAAAGCAATCAGTAACGTCTTCTCTCTCCCTTCCCTCCCTTCCTCTCTCTCTCAATACGCTGCCACCACCGATACGATCTCCTCACCTCCTTTCCTTTCCTCACTTCAGACTGTAAGTGGGCCTACTGCGGCGATGGCTACCGACATGACGGCATTGAGGAGTGTGATGGGAAGGACTTTGGTTATCAGACCTGCAAATCCTATCTCCCCGGGTATGTTCTCTGACAGTGTGCATAAACAATCACTAAGTGTCCATTTATTGGTGTAGAAATACTACAATAAGACTTTCTGCAGTTTAGACCGCAGCACTTTTATACGGCACCAACTCAGGACAGTAAACGGTCATTGGAATGAAATACCGTACTTACTGTATAGTGGGAGGTCTCTCAAACCCTGCAGAGATGATGGTGCATCACCCTGGCACCACCATGAGTTAGCTGCATGCTTTATTCTTGCTTAAAGGAAAAGTTCAGCATTTTGGGTAAACGCACATTTCCCTTTCTTGCTGACAGTTGAGAAGATTTATAGCGCTGTTAGTTTAGCTTGGCATTAAGACTCGAAGCAGGGTAAGCAGGTAGTCTGTCTGGCTGTTATGTAGTTTAGAGAATATTATGGATCTAAGACAAAAGTGACAAAACACTCAGAGAAAAATGCACAATTACAAACATGTCTGCTCCTTCAACACCAAGGACATCTCCATGGATTTATCAAGAGTAAGGGCCATATATTATGTCTACCACAAAGCACAGTTTATGTTCCTCTGGGATGGATAGGGGGTGAGCAGGTAAACAAAGGGGATGTCTTTTGGTCATTTTTCCAATCAGGGAAATGGCGTCCCCCCTTCGCTCCTGGTGAAACTTGTTTGATTGTTTATTTGCTTACTGACATACGTTACAGGAGAAATGCTGAAGCATATTTTTACCTGATTTACTTCTAAATATGAGGATAATAATTCTGTTTAACTATAAAATATTTGACAGGAAGTGCTTTTATTTTGAAGTACAATGAAGTCTCCTGCTCTGTGTTTTTCCGGTTGATATTGAAATGAATTGTCGAGTGCACGTTTCCACTACAACTACCGTTCTTGATGTAAACTGCTGCATTCATCAACATTTTCAGTTTGGACTCGACCCGCTTTGTTCATTATTCTAAGCTTCCACTACACAACAGCCCCCTTTAAATCAGTTGCACTTTTCATACATATCTCCCCATCTTCCGCAGGTCCTTTGGGCGGCTCAGATGCACCGACTCTTGCCTCATTGACTCCACTGGTTGCAAGTATTTCACCTGAACTGGAAAGTGAGACAAATTGCCTGATTGCAACTTTGCAGTTCCTCTTTCTGATCACTGGGGTCTATATTTCAGATTTCTACTGAAGTCTCACCCCTTTAAAATAAATGACGGACTGAAAGAGACTAAAGGAAGCTCTTGCGCCTGCTCTGAGCCATGTGAATCGACCGTCTCCCCTGGAGGTTTCAATCTTTGTCTGGCCTCAGGGAGCCACTTCCTGTTATAGTCATCGGCTGCAGCACTGTTATGGACACCGGTGGTGGTGGGACACGTTTTAATGATTGTATCCAATGAAATAGTTACAATGTGTATGACTTGCTGACTGTTAATGCAAAAATAAGCTGTATTGTGAAATTATTTTGTAAAGAGAGACAGAAAAAAGAGCCTTTCAAATGAGGCAATTATATTATTGATACTATATATACTGTAGTATGTAAATCAGGGGTGTGTACATGTGTTTATTCCTTAGGAAACATGTATTTATAAAGTGCAATACTGTGAAAATGCATGTAATTGTGTACAAGTGCACATTGGACTGTTTAACTAGTGCTATAAATGTAATATCCAAAGTATAGCCCTCTCGATGTGAATGTTCAAATACCGACAGGAGGGAAACGAATGTCGTACTGCAACAAGAACAACTGTGATCATCGCAGCAGCATGAAGAAACTGCTCAGTTACATCAAAGGAAATTCAACCTTAATTCAGCCAAATGTAATAAGTGTATTTTAATCTGCCTGCATGACTGTAAAGTTCACACTGTACACTAATAAAGGTGAGGCCAACAATTCAGAGTGCATTTCTTCTTATCCATCATTTCATATGATTTCGCTTGTTGGTGATTTTCTTCAAAAAAGATGAATGAATAATTAAAAAATATATATTAATGTTGTTCTTCAGAAACTGAATTTATATAGTTTGCTTTTGTCAAAAGCATAACATTCTGATATGTATTGAAATATAATTGTATTTCATGGACAAATTACAAGAACATATTCCAGATGTATACTGTACTTGTAAGTGGAAAAAGTAATCCCTTTTTCACAGTGTGCATGTATAATTAGAATCTTTGTCTCAGTCTTACTGTCTCTCACTTCCTTGTCTGTTTACCTTATTTTTTGTTCTTTAGTTTTATATAATAAAAGATTCTTCAATTGTTTATTATTTGAGACAGATTGTGTTGTAGTATAATTTCCACCATTATTTCATTTTATCCTTGCCATCTTTTTATATGAATGCCCTGTTTTGTGTTTTGTTATGTGCCTTATGCAAACAAATTGCCTTACACTTCACATCTGTAAGAGGGAGCGTCTGTGGGCGGGTTTACTGGTCAAAACCAACCAATCAGGAAAATACTTCCTGCAACAACATGCAGGATGAAACGTCACTGCCACGTAGAAAATAAACTGCACGCGTGTCGCTGCAGCTTCTCCAAACTTTTCCCAACATTTCACTTACCTGTTTTGTTCCTCAGTGAGGTGACAGTGTGGCAGCATGCTGACGGTGCTCGCCTGGCTATGCTCCTCCATGCTGCTCTCCGTCAGCGGGGGGAAGCTCCCTGAAGCCGAGGTGGAGATAGATGTCCTGCACAGACCCTTCCTCTGTCACCGGAAAACTAAGTACGGAGACATGCTGCTGGTGCATCATGAGCTGTACTTCGAGAATGGGACCATGTTGTACACCAGGTATGTTTCATGTCGGCAAACTGTCTCTGAAAAACTCCCGCGGTGAGTTTCAAGAGAGCAGGAGTTGTTACGAGATTAAAAGTAACGAAACTAACTTTCTCAAGACGTTAAATTGAAGCCATTTAGTGTATTTCTTCTTCTTCATTTAAATAAACTGCTCATACAGGTTTGACATTTGTTGTTAAAACTTTAAATCCGACTTTTCTTTCGCCGGGTTGCTATGGCTACTCCATGCCAGGTGTTCCACGTGTCAAATCTCATTGGTCAATCCTCCATCTGTTAGGATCACGTGATAACACATGTAAAGGGTCAGTTCAGCCAAGTTACAAGACACATTTTATTAAGTTGACCATAAAAGCCAAACATAACATGACAACAGATAAGGCACTTACTTAAAAAGACAACAATGTGATATTTAATTCAAAAAAGTTTATCAAACAAAACCATTCTGTAAACATATATTACATGTTCTTATTCATACATATCACCTTATGCAAATACACACATGCATAAACCCAAAGGTCAGAGGTCAAACAGGCGTGATATGCAGCATTTCTCAGTAGGGACTGTAATTGAGGAAATGTTGTGTTCTTTTGTGATTTAAGTGAGGGATGTTTACTCGAATGTCCACGAGTGTTACCTGCTGTTGTCTCCAAAGGGGGTCTTCTTGCAGTCCTTCCTTTTCAGACCTGTAACCCCACACTCTCTGTCTGTGTTTGCTTTCCAGTCGAACTGATGGTGACCGGCACGCCATGTGGTTTACTCTGGGCATCATGGAAGTGCTTAAAGGCTGGGATAAAGGCCTGCAGGACATGTGCTCTGGAGAGAAGAGGAAACTGGTCGTCCCTCCTGCCCTGGCCTACGGGAAGGAAGGGAAAGGTACTGCAGCTTTGACCATATTCATGCGAACTGCTGTGCATGCTGCTATGCAGAAACATGGGACTGTCTTTATAAAAGTGGTTGAGGTTTTTAGAAAATGTGTAATATTCCTGTACATTAATTTTGCATGTATGCATATTATACTTGTCTGTCTTGTTTTGAATTGCGTTCCAGGACTCCCAAACTGAATGAAGGTTTCATTCAGCGGTATTAGTCCACTTATTCTCTACATGGAGCATGTGAACAATGTTATGCTTTTTCCTGGTAAGCACACACCACTTTAACCCCTAACATCTATCTCTTCTGTTTCTGACTAACTTTTGCCTTGACAATAACAAGCTGAATGACTAAACATGACTAATAATGCAATTTACATTTTAATTTACAATGTGTTGCTATGAGGGCAAATATTAGGGCCAGGGTAAGGGAAGAAATCGAAAAGGAAAATGAAAGGTTTTTGTTTTTTTACTTTCAGTATTAGTGCCAGCAGTAATTATAAAAAAATATAGTTAAATGTTTTCCATCTGATTTGTTGATTCTTATTTTAATGTGTAATGTAATGATATACCTTATTTAGATTATACTTTACAACTAGCTGTTCTCATTTACTGAAAGCTGAACTTAAACATTGTTCTTGAGATGAAGGATAAAGAAAAATCTTGATCACACTCATTTCTTTTCTGAAAGGACTTTTCTAATATTTGTGATTCTTAAGGGATGTCACACCAAATGCTTTCTTTAAACTGAAGCACTCTCATATAAACCCCAGTTGACAGTCTCAGTTCTAGCTGACCTCTTGCTCTGTGCTGTTCTCTGCTCAGGTAAGATCCCTCCTGAAAGCACGCTGACCTTTGTCGTCGAGCTGCTTAACATCAAAAATGGACCGAGGTCTCACGAGTCCTTCCAGGAGATGGACCTCAACGATGACTGGAGGCTCTCCATGCAGGAGGTATACACAAACACACACACACTGCCTTCAGAAAACTCTCACTTGGAGTAGATAAATATGCATTTTCTTCCTATGATATACTAATAAAAAACCCTTGTGGCTAAGAGCTAAGTGTGGAGGAAATTCTTAACAGAAACTCATAAATAATTAATGGTCAAAATGTGTCTTTTGTTATATTTAATAAAGAAATTAAATATAACAAAATATCAATTCAATATACAATTGAAATAGATCTGAAATGCAGGAACAGATCAACTTCATCCTCAGAGGGTAAAGAAGTTCTGCACCCCGAACACAGCTGACAGTCCCACTATATTCATGTAAGGAAACGTCCAACTGGTCCTACATCCCATCATTAAACTGAATGATTAGGCGGCGTGTGGCGTGTGGCGTGTGGAGAGTGGAGAGCCTTGGTGTTCGGATCAGGGGGTCACAGGTTCAAACCCCACTGCAGTCAGCATGTCGTTGTGTCCCTGGGCAAGACACATCACCCCAAATTGCTCCTGTGGGGATTGTCCACAGTATTGAGTATGTAAGTCGCTTTGGATAAAAGCGTCTAACAAGTAACATGTAATGTAATCAAACCATAAAACCCCCTTACCCTTAACCATTTGCAAATCCACCTTTACAGTTCCTTTTGCCCTCCTGAAATGTTAATCCTAAACATATGTCTCTGTTAAACCCATACAAGATTACAAATATAATTAGAGTAAAAGACAGAGTATAAGACTATATCTTTTAAATGATAATTTGACACGACACTAAGCATTTACGAGCAGTTACCTTCTCAGATTGTGGTCTTCTGACAGTTTAAGAGCCAGAAGGGTGACGTTCTCTATTATTTCAACCCGGAGAGACGTGATGTATGGAATACATATTTATTGTTACACGTCATATGAATGAAATGATTGCCATGATAATACAACAGGAGAATGGAATGGTGTTTGGCGATTAGGCCCCGGTTTGCAGGATAATCATTCAGGAGGGAAAGAACCGCTCCGATGAAATCCCCGGGGTCTAGACCAGGGGTGGGCAAACTTTTTGGCTCGGGGGCCACTGTGAGTTTTAAATTTGACAGACGGGCCGGGCCAGTAGCAGATCGGTAAAAAAATATTTAGCTGTCCACTCCTCATTATACACTCGGCACTCAATGTTGACTTTTCTTTGGTCCACTCATTGTTACAGATGCAGGTTCAAAGGTGAATTATGTTCAAAGGTGAATTATTGCGTCATCGTTTGCGTCATGACGTAACCGTTTACGTGCCTTCTTATGACCCACACAGCGTTTTACGTCGCTGATTTTCTCCGCAACACCGCTCACAACAACATCAATAGAGGACTGCGTCGGGTAGTTTTTAATTATACGAAGCCAGATTAAATTAAAGAACTATTTCTCCAACCTTGTACCTTTCTCCAGAGTGCCGTGGTGTATTGTTTATTAATGTGGTTCAGCTGCATTACCGCCCGCTGCAGTGCTGCTCGTCTACCGGAGTTTATTCTCCCGTTAACTCGCGGCAGCGGCCGCTGTAAAGTTTTCATTGTCTGACCGTCACACAAGCAGCTGATAAATATCCCCCATCCCCATAAGTGAATGTGTTTTAGTCTGAAAGCTGTTTGGCATCACAACGCTGTTATGAAAGTTTCTCTGGCATTCTACAGGTGATGTTAGCTAATCAGACTATCTTACTTGTTGCTATCATATTGTGGTATAAGACGTTTTCTACACGCATATTTTACTGGCGTAGTTTTCGTTATGATTTTACTTGTGATGGCCACATGTAGCCCATGTATTGATTCCATCCGATAGTTGCAATAATACAAAACAAAAGGAAAACATCTGCCTCTTCACAATAGTCAATAACAGTGAACGGATGGTCATTAAAGTAAGGTAAAAATAAACAGAATCACACAAAGCCTGGTTAGTGTTGCCTGACTTTATATAGGCATAAGTGTGTGGTCGCGTTCTAGTCACTTTTCTCAGCGCTACTGCTTGTTACAACTTGTATTCGCCGATCTTGCCGGGTTGCCGAGTGGGGCCAGCTGAGAGAATAGACCAGACTCCAGCAAAGGTAAATTGTGTCTAGAGTGTGCCATCTAGTGGGATCAACTGAAATGCCGGGTATTGCAGGATAAAGGCAAAATTAATGCGGTCTTTACTATAATTTGGAAAATGTTGTACCAATATTCGGCGGGCCGGATTCAAAAGCCCAACGGGCCGTATATGGCCCGCGGGCCTTAGTTTGCCCATGCCTGGTCTAGACACTGGTGGTGGTGATAAGTAGGTGGGACCGGTCTGAAAGAGGAAGGTTTTAGCTTTGTCCTGGAGGAGACGGGAGGCGAGAGGGGTGGAGGAGGGTTGCGTGTAGTCACCTGAAATGACAACTGACAGGAAGAAAGAGCAGGCATTCAAGGAATTTAACGTGTGCAGCAATTGGCTGCTGAGGGGTGACGCCCACGCATTTAATGAGGGGGGAGAGAGCAATAGAGTGACGTGTAAGTGACTCATTGTTAGGTCTTCCTTATTGAACTTGCGCTAAAGCTTTCATTTCACCTCATGACCCATCAGATTGTAACACTGCTATAAACAAATCATTCACTGTGCTACCTGATATATGTTGATATATATTAACACAATTGCTGATTGGAGTTGAAACAGACCAGCGTGGCCAAGTGTCAATTATTAGAAATGGCTAAGAATTAAGAAGTGGATGCACATTAAAATGAATATCCCAAACTATAAGTGCTGTGCAGGTAAAGCAATTTGGAATATTAAGTAGTGTCCATTTTATTATTCCATATCTTTATTTGTTTGTAAAAAATAAACTGCAGTATCTGTTTTAACAGTGTATTGTTAATCTTTGGATTTTTGTATTATTATTATTTTATTCTACTAAATCATCCAAAGAAGAAAAAAAGTATAATTCATACACACAAAGATAAACAAAATCAGTAGAAGCGGGAGGGCTGAAGCATAGCTTATGGGAAGCCCTCCCGTGAATCATCCTAATACAACATTGGCATTATTGCGTCAAAAACATTTAGAAATTAAGGAATTGGATTTATGTATCTGACTCCACACTCAAGGGCTTTATTTTTAATTTAAAGTCTCAACCTGCCTCATCCTCACTAATCCTCCTGCTCTCACCTTCATCCACCAGGTGAGCGTGTATCTGAGGAAAGAGTTTGAGCGCCACGGCTACCCTCCCAACGACACCCTGCATGAGAACATGGTGAAGGACATCTTCAACAAAGAGGATGCGAACAAAGACGGCTTTATATCCTCCCGAGAGTTTACTTACAAACACGATGAACTCTAAATTCTCACTCACTCGCTCAGTGTGATTTGTGGTTGATATACTTTGATGCAGAGCCTTATTTCCAGCATGAAAGTATTTATAGGAGCGTTGTGTGTCTGATCTTTGAGCCAATGGGTGTGTTTAATTGATGTCTTTTTTTATTTTGTATGTTTTGTTAATGTGTTTACAATAGTCCATTACACTCCGTGTCACTTGACATTACTTTTTAAGAATGTATTCAAATGATATTCACTTATCAGTGTCACCAAATATCTGAGGGAAAGTAGACAGGAAGTAAATGCCTTTAACAATGTATCCAAAGTATGTAGATAACAGTTGCTAAATTTGGCTGTAAAATTCAATTTTGGGGGAGAAATTGTATTTATTTCCTTTTAAAAGAATATACATCAATTTAATTTCACCCTTTGTGGGTTCATAAGTAAAGGGACTGTTTTTATACCTGTATATAAATACATTTGGCAAATAAATGCGTCTACTTTATAGAAGAATTGGAAAAAAATGTCATTAAAATCAGTCGTATGATATTGATTAAATTGTGTTTAGGTTCAAGGGGCAGGACAATGTGAACTTTGGTATTTGTTGTTTCTATGGAGCAGTGAAATGTATTGTGTATAGGGCACTGGTGATCGTGAGTTTTCCATGGCAACCGTGATGACTTGACTTAGCAGGAAAAGCAGGTGTAACCGAGAACATAATGGCTCAGTTTCAGTTCCTCTGCGTGTTCCCAGCGAGCCAGTATACACAATACTCAGGTCCTGGCACAAAGCAGCCATCGTTGTTGTTATAAGAGACACCTGTTTGACAGCTGACAGCCGCTGTGGGAAAGTGCACTGCCATGCATACACTGCAGTGTCAATGCTGAAAGAATAAATATTTAAAATTCTGAAACATACAATTATCTCTGCACGCTACTATCCAAATGAAATCGTCTGAATGACAAAGTGAGATAAACTGTACTTTGTTGTTATTACCAACACGCTGGAGGCTGTTTTCCAATATTGCACACACGTTTCAAACCACCGAATGTTCCCACAGTATCGACTTTAATCTAAACTGTCCAGTTTTTTTTTTTAAACATGTCAAGACTAAACTCATTATGAAAATGTATCTTCTAGTCAAGGCATATTACAATTTTCAGTTTTTACAACCAATGTGATCAATAAAAGTGAACTTTCTAAAACAAAATACTGTGGTTTATTTGGTTTTCACACCTTGTAACACTTTACACATTGAACCAGCAGGTGGCACTGTCTTCACAGGTGTTAGTATTGGTTAACACGGAGGAAGGTGACACTACATCTCATTCATTATGCATTCACAACAGAGAAACAAGATGCATTCCCATGATTATTAAATGTCTTGATGCATTAGTTACTTATTAAAATCAAACACAAAGGAGAGCACCACCATATGTACAAAGATAGATGAAAGCATAGCCCAAGTAGTCACCTGCACTTTTGTTGTTCTCATTGAGGTTAAAGGGGCCCTATTTCAGGTTCATATTTGTATTTTATGCCTCTACTGTGACATGCTTTAATGTTCAAAAAGCTCTTTATTTTTCTCATACTGCCTGTGCTGCAGCACCTCTTTATCCCACCTCTCCCACCTCACAGAGGGTGACTGTCTGAAACCAGAGCCCAGTCTGGTCTGATTGGTTAGCTGGCCGGCTCTGTTGTGATTGGTCAACCGCTTAGAAATGTCCCGCCCCTTAGCCTATCACGTACAATGTATTGGAGAGCTAGCCAATAGAAGCTCAAGTAATACATAGTGATGTTATGTTACAGAAGTAAACAAAGAACTACAATATAGGTGTTCCAAGAACTTTGGGATTTAAGCCTTTGCAGACCATTTACATGCATACAATCCTATTCAACACACTACAGGAAAAGGAAAACCCTAAAAAGCATAATAGGGCCTCTTTAAGTTTTCTTCTTACATGCTTTTGACAGATAACATTTTAAATGGATTGTCCTGCTTAAACCTTTTAAAGAGTTTATTTTAGTGCAGTAGTCATTGCTGGACCACAGTTTGTATATTTAAAAGAGCTTTACTTTCTGTGTTCTAAACATTGTTTCTGCATTAACCATCTTTACAAGTGCTTCTGTAAAAGGGACAGATCCTGACATGAAATGAAAATATAATAATCTGCACGTAGATTTTGAAATGCTTATAAAATGTATCAATTGTAATACTAAATTCAGCTGCTGGAAGACACTGTCTCTTGTGTGTGTACGGTCTGTATGTAACGTGTGAGTCTGAGGAGGGAGAGTCGCCCTCCTCCTCACACATTCAAAACATTCCACACTGGAAAAGGTCAGAGGTCACATAGTCAGAATAAGGCGGGACCCTGTTTGACACCAACATACACACACACACATACACTAAACATGAACACACACACAGTTTTCATCCAAATAAGTCCATGACAGTTATGTAATTGTCACGAGAAGGAGGAAGAGGAGGAAAACTGCCTGATATGTGAGTGGGGGGATGAAGATCAGGATGTGGCTATGACTCATCTGAGGTGTGTCCTTATCCCAGGGGGGTTGGGGTTCACTGCATGGAGAGGAAAGAGGAAGACAATCAATAGATGATGATGATGACGTCATGGATTAGGATGAACAATATTGAGAGTCTCTACCTCTGTTTTCTTTGCTGGGGTAAGTCCGAGGGAAAGGTTTGAATTCTTCTGGAGGAGGGAAGTCCTCTACGGGGTGGAACTGGAACTTGGATTCAAAATCATCTGCTGGAAGTAAATATACAGTAAAGATGTGATTAAAAGGGTGATATGTTGTGCTAATTTCAAATACAAGGTCTCCATGCTGCATCTCATTCCCAGCTGTCTTCCGTTTACTGGTCTCTCGACAGCTGTTCGATCGATTAAAGGCAAAAAAAGTCTGTAAAAAGTCTGTAATGTTATTTTCTTTATACTGTTTCAGGGTATATGCAAGAATCCTGAAATCAAATGTAAGACCTTTTAAGACCTTTTTTAAGACCCTTTCCGTATATTTTAAGACCTCATCGCCACTTCGAGTTTTAACCGGTTACATTGGCGACACACTTTACCTCACATTTACTATATACAGTATTGATCGTCCTTCCTCCTTATCTTCCAACCATTTGGACGCAGACTTGCATTTCCCCATAACGATGTTGTTTAACAACCGGCGTAAACAGGCCTTCGCGCGCTATCAAGCAGTGAGCGTGCGATGTCCTCTTCAGATGACGTCAAATCCAATGGGATACCATAAATAAACTACACAGAATCACACTACACACCTACGCAATGATTACATTCAGGCAAACTGTAGAATACAACCTCTTTGGACAATTGATATACTTATTGAAAACAAGCTACAAAATGTAATACGTTGGAAAATGCCGTTTAATACTTTTTAGCCTTAATTTTCGCTAAATTAATTGATCAACTTTTAGTACTTTTAAGACCCGCGGACACCCTGTGTTGCATCACTAGGTAGCCTACATAAAATGAACAGATCAAAAATTATTTTAAACAGATGTTACGACAAGTTGTAATACAAGTGTTTTTAAAAAACAATCAGGTATATTCATTCCACAAGCAATGAAAACTGCGGTGAGGTACTTTAAAAAGTGTTAAAAAAATGAATACCTCTGTACAATTACAGCAGACATTCTCCACAAGCAGAGATGTCTCTCATCCTCACCAGGTTTATTTTTATTTTTGGAAGACACAAAAGCTCTGATACAGTATAATTATAATGAGGATGTAGAGAAGAGATAATGACATTTGAATTCATTAAATAAGTTACATTTAATACAATCGTATTCTCTCATTTGAAAGCACTCTTCATAAGAAACTCACACTAAAAACACTAAAGGCCTTAATCGTCTCCTTAAAAATGTCAGATCAATACTGTCAGATATATAGTTACACTCACCCAGGCTGTGCAGGTGTCCATTCCTGAGGCTTGACGGAGGCAGGGGGGGAGGCGGGGGGGGAGGAATGCGGGTGGACAGCTCGGTCGAGGGGGAGCGTGCCGGGGGAGCCGGCGGAGGAGCCAGCCGACCGCCACCTGTCGCCATGGGAGACAAGAGCAGAGGAGTCAGTGGGGTGTCGGACATAAGCAATAAGATCTACCAAAAAATGAAAAACATCCAAAACTGAAATGTTTATTTGGGATAGCAAGGCCATAGTTACTCGAGGGAAAATCATTGATTTGTAAAAACAGACTAAAACATTACACAACACATTCCCTGTTGACTTTAATAACTATTTGCAACAGCTGCAGCAGTTTACAAACTATACTTCAGACGCACAACTGACAGTACAAATACTTTCTCCTGTAAACATGTTGTTGTAAGATGTACACCTACATTGTATTTCAACATTTGCGATTTCCCCATGGCATGTTACATTACATCTACGAGTTGTGAAAACTGTTCCTCTAAAGAGTTATTTTCATCAGTTTATACAGACAACAGTATTTTTACAAAATCAAGGCAAAAGTCAGGGAGAAAAACCATTGCCCTGAAATGTACAAACTTTGTCTTGTACATCTAATACTTTCTGTTGCCCTATTTTACATCATCTTCATCCTTTTCTTAGGTTGGATGGTTATAAAATCTTGGAGCGAAGAACTAGAACACAATAAGTACATTGGACTGGAGAGCTTCAAATTAATCAGACACTGAAGATGTATTGGAAGTTAAGGACGGACACAGTAGGGACAAACCAAATCTGAAGCTCTCTTCCCTGATACTTAACCACACCTAAGAATATGATCAACATTATACAACAAGACGCTGCAAGCCCTGTCCCTAGCAGAGTCAAACTGTCCTGTTATTATCTGAAGAAAAACAGTTTTTGGTAATATCTACGAGACAGCTGTGGTTGAAGCCCAAGTGGAAAGAAAGGGCCTGCCTTATCACAAGGCTGTTTGTCTGTGCTTGGAAAGAGAGGAGTGACAGGAGAGGTAAAAGCTAAAATGATCGGAGCTTAATATGATAATTCCATATCCGGCTCCATCTTCCTGTGTCGGTTATGGCTATACTTTGCTTTTCTACAAGTGGTGGGAACATCTCAATATCCACTGCCTTGGGATGCTCACTCTAAAAAATAAAGCAGAAGGTTAATTATGGAATCCATCCTCCAACTTCTTTGCATTTCAAATTAACCGGAAATCACAGGTGAGAAAAAAAAGACCCTTCCTCATCATGGCGTCCACTCACCTGCACTTCTGGGCACAGCAGGCGGCCGTCGGGTGGGGGCGTTGCAGGGGTACGAGGGGGGCAGAGGGCGCATGGCTGGTGAGGGTACTGCGGCCAGCTTGGGTGGTGGAGGGGGGAGAGTGGATGGGCAGGTGGGGGTGTAAGAAGATGGGAGAGGAGGAGGCGGAGGTGGGGGAGGAGGTCCCAGGGGGCTGTCCCGCAGGATGGGGAACCTCGAGGGTTCAGAGGAGACTAGAGGCGGAGGGTAGAAGCACCCTGAGGTGCGATCCCCTGGTACAGCAGAGTGAGACTGGAAAGGTGGAGGAGGGGGAGGAGGAGTAGAGGGCTGGGAGATGGGGCTGTGGTGGGAGTGCTGGAGGGGGAGCCAGGTGGGCTTGGTGACCTGGGATGGAGGTGGGGGAGGAGGGCAGGTGGGGAGGGGAGGGTGTCTGTTGGCGGGTCGGTCCTGAGGTGGAGGAGGCGGTGGAGGAGGGGCAGAGGGAGGAGCAGGTGGAGGAGGAGGGGGAGAGTAAGTGGGGAATGAAGGTGGGTGCCTGCTGCTGTGGGAGGGGGAGGTGGGAGCGGAGGAGGAGGGGGGGAGAGGGCGGTGGACGGAGCGACGGTGCTCTGCTGTCCTCTGATGCTCCGAGACGCTGCTGCTGTCGGCTGGAGGAGGAGGAGGGGGGGGGTTCCACAGGGGCTTCAGGGAGGCGGAGGAGCTCGACCGGGACACTTTGAGAAGCACACACACACACGGGGGAGTCAATTCGATAATCAATGTTAGGGCTGACAATAGTCATTATCAAGAAAAACTACAAATTAACTTCTAGATTAATTTATGCATTTTTTGGACTACAAAATGTCAGAAAACAATGAAAAACGTCCCAGTCAAATATCAAGGTAATGTTACATTTCTTCAGTCAGCCTAAAACCAAATGATATTCAGTTTAATATCATATGAAACATCAAAAAAGCATGATCCATATTTGAGACATGTTTTTATGTAAAATTACGAAAAAGTTGGCCGATTATTTGTCTGTTGAACAACTGGTCCATTGGTTGACTAAATATTGCAACTACTGCATATCTATATCATTTCTAGATTTAGACATAGCAAGACATGTTTTCACCAACCTGGGGTCTTGCTGGTTTGTCCTACAGGCCTGAGGGTGGGGAAACCTCCAGCAAAGAGCCCCCCCAAAGAGGGTCCCACAGGTCCCACTCCTGCTGAGCCCACACTGGACACATCTCCAGGGCTAGTCTTGGGATCTGTGGAACAACACATGTGTACACATACATTACATCACAAGTGATCATAATAATGGCACCACTGTCCATTTAGTGGTCATACAAACATTTGAAATGTGTCTTGCAACCGGGCAAAACATACCGCTGAATGCACACATACTTGAAAAATACTGTTTATGCAACATATTTAACCATTTTATAAATCTTATTGTATACTGGGGATACATTGTATGTCTTGTCTACTGTGTGTGCCACTGTAGTTGTTTCCTATTCTTCCTGCATCCTTATCTCATTCAGGGCATTCCTTCCTGAAGTGTCCACTTGTTGTGTGTATATAGGTCAAAGAGAAGCAACACACTCCAAATCGACCACACACACACTACCCTCCCTTTTTCCCAAAGTCTTGTTTTACATTTATATCTCACACTATGGCATCCTGACACATAAACACACGTCATTCTCCTTCCTTTGAGCTCCACTGTGAGAATTAGGTGAGTGTGTCCATGTGTACATTAGTAGCTCTGTAAGGTTGTTGGTCTTACTCTCCACGGCCGGGGCACTGCGGTCGTTGACTTGTGCTACTTTCCTGAGTCGGGCTCCGTTCTGGATGTCGGCCAGCAGGGCATTCCTTCCACCTGCTCCTGCACACTGGAGCTTAGGAGGCTCCGACGGACACTGCCACACAGAGACAGAAAACAGCTTTCATCTAACAGTGAATTGCCCCATATTTGTTCTGCCTTGAGGGTTGACTTCAGGACACTAAATAAAGAAAAGACAATTTTGAAAATCATTTAATAATGTCATTTACTGTATATACTTAATGCAAGCTCCAATGGTTAATTCCTGTTTCATGTTTTCATTTACTGTATTGGATATCTTTTGGGTTTTGAAATCGGGATCAGAAAAGCAAGATGTTTGAAGACATCATCTTGGACTCAAGTTAATTAAATGTAACTTTTTCTTCTCTTTTTAAGTATTTCTGATATATTTAAAAGGGTTCCAAAAAAAACTCAACACAAAACCGCAAAAAAAAAAGAATAAATACTTTCAGCCCTGCTTAGTGTATTTTCAATATGTATTTGATAATTTTTCACATTAAGAGATGGGTGAGAAAAGGTGAAATGGAATGTTCTGTAAAGCACTTATCACAATTAACCATAGTCCCTGACATTGTAATCAGTTCATCTTTGAGTCCAAGTGGACATTTGTTCCAATTATAAAGAAATTCTCTCAAAGCGTTTGTGAGATATTGTGTTCATGACAATGGGTAAACAGTCAGACGTCCAACCCAAAAACGTAAGAGAAACTAAGATGCAGTAAGAGCATTCAGTAAAGGGGTTTTCAAGGGGGATTAGGAACACAATTAAAGCTAGGGAAGAAGAAGAGAAGCAGGGAGGAGGAGAATTCTTTAAGTAATGTTGAGAAATTCACAGAGAGATGAGATGACTTCAGTATATTGATGTATCTCCGCTGTGTGTCCGTGTTCGCTGGCAGCGGCTACTAATTTAACATGAGGACACTGAGCGCCTGCTGCGGAAACATAACACTCCTCTGCTACTGAGAGACTGCTGTCTGCCCTACTGTGCGTGTGTGCGTGCGTGCGTGCGTGCGTGCGTGCGTGCGTGCGTGCGTGCGTGCGTGCGTGCGTGCGTGTGTGTGTGTGCGTGTGTGTGCATGCGTGCGTGTGTGTGTATTACCTCAATCAATAATGCAAACAACCTACAGGTGATGGTTGATGGTCATTGAGAAGGACACGAGTGAGTCTTTGCAAAATTGCATAAGAAGGACTCTTACCTGTGGCAGGGCAGCGCTGGGTGGAGGTGGTGGGGGGGGAGCCAGGGGAGGAGGCGGGGGAGGGGGGGGAACTGGCATGCTGAGGCCTCAGATACCTACAGAAGACAATGCAAAAGCAAAAACTGTCACCATCAGTATTCATGCGCTACTACTATGTGCAGGGGGGTTCTCGATGACCTCTGACCCTCTCCCCTGAACAGGAAGAGCTTTCACCAGCGTAGAGCGCAAAACAGGAAACAGCAAGCGCTCCATCCTCTCTAGAGAAATCCGACACAACACCCCCCTGTCCTCCTCTTCTTCCCACAATGCCCAGTGGCGGGACTTGGGAGAGGGACAATGAGAGTGTTGTGTGAAAAGTAATAGACCCCTACCCTTCAGTCAGAATTGGAAAACACGTTGAGGAAAGTCCACAGGAAATTGCTACAGCCTGCAAACACATTGTTCTCTACTTTCTCCTGATTATGTTTCCAAATGAACATGTTACAGGATGTCTCGTGATTCAGTAATAAAAGTGATAAGCTAAAGTAGCCAAACAGCAACTTTCCAGGAACAGATAGACACAACTGTATTTTGAGTTTTTGTGATGTATCTTTTGAATGTACTTGTGGATGTGTTTTCTTTTTTGACTTTATATGTTTTTGAAAGAAGAGGAAAACATGTGTAAATTAGCATTTCACAACAAACCATTAGCACATAGCATCTGGCCCGTGTGCTACTGTGTTGTCCACATCAAATTAAAATAAACTCACTAGGGATTACATCACCGTCTTTCAATGTTCTTGTGTCGTTGGCGACTTTGCTGGGTAATGATCCACAGCGACAGTCACTGAGACCCACACACAACATAGTTGACATCATAAATTCTTGACGAGCTGTCTTGCATAGCTGTGAAAGTCTGAAAACAGCTTGAGTTTTGTGAACATTTAATTCTCTTAGGAATTTGCACATACTGAGCAATTTAATTAAACAGAACAGAACCTGTTTTTGTTGAATTTAGTATAAGTCCCTCTTGTCTGTGTGTGTGTGTGTGTGTGTGTGTGTGTGTGTGTGTGTGTGTGTGTGTGTGTGTGTGTGTGTGTGTGTGTGTGTGTGTGTGTCATCAGACTGTCCTGCACTTCTATTTCTATCTCCATATCTGTGTCAGGCGGCCTCTGTGACACGTCTCGTCTTTAAAGGGGGAAATGCTGGACACTGTTTGGCTCTATGGAGGACCAGTTGGTACACTGAGTGTTAATGCACCTCTCACCAGCTGTTTCTCTTTGACTTGTTGTGAGACTGACCTTGAGCGGCCCAGACCAAGCAAGGAGGCAGAGGCAGAATGTCCAAAAATATAACCCGACGTGGGCATTTATTAAAATCATGTGCACAAAGTTCACAGCCTCAATCCTGCTGTTCTCCTTGCACACATCCTGCAGCCACAAGGATCTCACACACCCTACCAGCCTCTCAACAGACAGGGAAACAGAGCCTAAATACACACACTCTAATCAGCACAACAAGACACAGGTGAGGGGGGAGGAGACAACACAGGACACCAGGTGCACACAATCATCAGCCACAGACAACATATTATTTGCACCCTGATTACTCTCAACCACTGTCATCCTTCAACCCTGTCTCCTAAAAATTACGTTCCCACAGAACTAAACTGCATTCTCAATTACGTTTAGCAAGAAACGTATTTTCTCCCACGTTACGTTCGTTATGAACGTATCTCAAATACGTTTATTTTCTACATATCTTCTAGAAACATATTTTCTCCCACGTTACGTTTCTTATGAACGTATCTTAAATATGTTTATTTTCTACATATCTTTGCCATTTATTGTCTTGATTATAATAATGATAATAGTCATTTATAAATATCATTTTAGAGCACACATTTGAAATCAGTAGGCGAGGCTGTAATTTCGCCAGCTGTTACTCTCATGAGCGAGGCAGAAAATAATAGTTTTTAACATGCCAAAAAGCTGCTGTGCCGGCTCGTTTATTATTACGTGTTTCCGTACTTCCTCTAAGAAGAAAGGACAGTAACAGAAGATCTCTGTGACGCCAGATGTGGTGTTGTTAATGCGATATGATATCCGAAAAACATTTCAGTTTAGGATGGCCGAAGACACTACACTACCCATAATCCCCAACTATCGTTTGGGACTACAGTCCCGTTGACAAACACCGTGGTTAATCTTCAAACTCTGGGATTGGATGTTGGAGTGGCAGTGCGCTAAGGTTACGCCGAGCGTCAAGCTCTTTGAAATGGAACGAAACCACGGCAGACTATTCAAAACTAGACTCGAACGCCCCCCCAGAACTACACATGCTGGCTATTGTGTTTCGCAACATGTTCTCTATGGCACGTCTCTACTGGGAATTGTAGTTTTAAAAGACCTTTTCGTTTTTCCAAAAATTAGAAGTTGACAGTATTAAACTGTGTACAGCCCTGGAGGTTTAGGCGATAGGAAACACATTGGTGTGTACACATTTAAAACATGTAATTACTACATGGGTGAAAATCGCTTGTATCCATAATGGGCAGCATTAATATATACCCACACGACAGCTCATTGTTATTTTGTAATTCTACTCCACTACAATTCAGAGGTTAACCTGGTATTTTTACTCCACTACATTTACTTTAGTAACTCTGCAGATTCTGATTAATGATGGGAAATATAAACAACCCTTAAAGCAGACTTTAGTTACACCTGATTAAAATTCAGGGAAAGGTGAAGTAAGGTTGTGCCAACAATCAGGCGAGATATTTGATAGTTGATGCTTGAGAAGACTAAACATTTATCTGCAGATCTCTATAAAGTATATTAATTACTCGTTATTCTCTACTAATAGTTCATTAAAAACTGTATATAATTGCTATTTTGCACATCCCTTTCAAGATTTCAAGATTTTCTAATATTTATTGACATATCATATGCACAACTACGGTGTAGTTATGCAATGAATGAAAAACTTGGGTCACAGGTTCCTCAACAGTGCATTACGACATCTATCAATATGTGTGTATACCTCTTATGTATCCAATCAACGAGCTTCAAGCTGAGGATCTTGGGTAATCTGTTCAGTGGATTTGTGTGTATCCTCAAAATGTCCCTTATAGGCCTACGTCTGTTTCCGGTGACTTTATTTACGGCTAAAAAGCCCAAGATTATAGAATTAAACGAATAAATAAAAACAAGGATAATTGTGTGTTATTGTTGAGTAAATAAGGAAAAAAAGATTTTCAAAAATACAGATTTCAGTATTTTGAGCTCTAAGCCCCATTTATTTTCCTCACAGACGGGAAAAAAAGTCCGACATTATACGACTTAAAATAAAAACATAAAACACTGGCATGTAATTTACGTTAGAATAAATAGAATGGTTTTGAATAATAGATGAGAGTAAAATCTACGTCACTTTACAGCCCCGCCCACTTTTGGGGACACCAACGCTGTCATTTGAACAGCGATCAAGCCTGAAGCCACAGAGATCTTCTGTTATTGTCCTTTCTTCTTAGAGGAAGTACAGAAACACGTAACTCTGGATTTGTTTTAATGTTTGAGGTGCAATAAACGACACAGCAGCTTTTTGGCATGTTAAAAACTATTATTTTCTGCCTCGCTCATAACAGCTGGCGAAATTACAGCCTCGCCTACTGATTTCAAATGTGTGCCCTAAAATGATATTTATAAATGACTATTATCATTATTATAATCAAGACAATAAATGGCAAAGATATGTAGAAAATAAACGTATTTAAGATACGTTCATAAGAAACGTAACGTGGGAGAAAATATGTTTCTAGAAGATATGTAGAAAATAAACGTATTTGAGATACGTTCATAACGAACGTAACGTGGGAGAAAATACGTTTCTTGCTAAACGTAATTGAGAATGCAGTTTAGTTCTGTGGGAACGTAATTTTTAGGAGACATGGTTGCATCCTTACACCAGCATAACTCCTCTCGGCGCTCTCGCAAACTCCCCTATCTTTTCAGGCGGAGCCGAGGACCCGACCAGCACCTGGCCTGAAGCCGTCAGTCCATAGTGACGAAGTTACCTTCGTCACATTTCCTTCCCCCTCTCCCCAGGAAGCACAGTGTCTTTACAGTCTCGGCTTCGGGACAACCAGTCAGCCACCCGGGCTGCTTCTCAGGTCGACTATTTTCATTTCCTCGCTCCTCGGTCCTCGGTCTCACCGGAAGTTGATTTGCCCGCGCCATCTTGAGTACCGTCCCATGGCTCTTATTTCTGCCGGAGGACCGAGGATCGAGGAGCGATCATGGAGGAGCGATAACCGAGGAACCACCAGACCATCCTCCGATGAAATCCTCAGACACTCGCCCCGCCCCCTTACTGTGTATCGCTCACTGATTGGACGAGGCAGTGCATGCACTGATCTGATGCTTCTTGACATGAGAGCAGTTTCCCAGCGGAGTGAAGAAAATACATGAACCTCACGGGACTCACTCCTCAGTTTATACCGTGTTTTGTTTCAATTCATGTATCATTTAGTTACAAATATGTGATATATCTGAACAACAAAGTGGTCAAAAATCATTTTATTCATTTATTGGAAACATTTTCATGATCGCTTTTTTCGTTTCACATTTTCATTTATTGTCATTTCCATTCAGTCAGTCATTAAGTGCTATTAAAATGTTAATGTGCTACATATCCAAACAAACAAACAAAGTGTGCAATCCAATGAATGTTAATCTAACTGGGTTTTGATAGCTTTTTCTTCTCTCAATTATTTTATTTCTATTGTGCACTCTAATCAATATTAATCAAACTATTGTTCGTTTATACATTTTAAGAATGGCGTTTATCTTTTTTGAGAATGACTTCTTATTTTATTTCATGTATTTGGATCTACAACAGATGATACTAATGTTATGTCAGTAAATGTGCACTAACAGAGGCGGGGGTGTTTGTGGAAATAACGGGTACAGAGCTGGCTGCTGCCAGACGAACAGCTGTGCAGCGTCATCATAAACGGACGTCGCTTCATGTGACGCTCCGGAGGAAAGGATGTCCCATTGCTCTTAAAACTCATTTCCCTGCTTCTCGTGGTTTCCTTGCGTCCCTCCATGCTTCCCTGGTGGGAGGGACTAAACGCAGGGAAACGACGCAAGTGAGGGAAGCAAGGATTTCATTTAATCGACCTGAGAAGCAGCCCCGGTTTCAACGCCGCCTCCTCCGCCACCTCCAGCGGGGCCAGTGAAGCCGTTGTCAACCATGTCGTGATGCCACTTATCCGGAAGCTGTTTTGTCCTGTTGTAATGCGTTGGTCTGCCTCTAGCACGACCCAGGTTCTGTCGACTCCTCGTGGGTCCGGGTCCACCTCCTCGGCCTGCAAACGCTGCTCTTCCTGCTTGTCTCTCTTCTCCTGCTGCTTGCCCATGTACATGTCAAAATTCTTCCCAAAGGTCAAGGAATACCATGATCATAACACCAGAGGGAGCTCCACAAATCATGTGAAATCCAGATTTGGCACAAAAAAGGGGGAATGCACGTTTCGCAATTATGCCACATCAAGGTGGAACGCTCTTCCCACAACTGTAAAGGAAAGTAAAACTATACTTACCTTCAAAACCTCTCTTAAAGAGCACCTTCGGGGGAGAGCATTGCAAAACTGGCCCCGGTAATGGTACAAATCTCAACCTGTCGTTCAATGGACAGCTTCCCCCCCCATCTATGTATATACTCGCATTTTAGACTCTGTTACTAACTGTATATCTGTAGACTTGGTATGTCTTAAATGTCCGGTTAGGATGTATTAGAACGAAATCTAAAATGAAAATTGTAAACAAGCAATCTGTATGTAAAAAAAACACCTGTATGTAAATTGTAAATAAGCCATCTGTATGTCAAATATGTCTTATATGATATGATGAATTGGAAATGGGGGACCCTGATGTAAACAAGACGAAAGTCTTTCTCTGGTCTGCATCCCCTTAACAATTGTATGTTTTGAGCTGTACTGTACTGTACCCAATATACAAGCTGTTAATAAACTTTTCAATCAATCAATCAATTGTCTCTCGTCTCCTGCTGCCTCAACAGCCGTGGCCCTCTGGTCCGTTCCAGGCATAGCCACCCCCAGCCGCAGTTCCTCTCTTTGGTCCCTCTTCTTTCCTCTCGTAATTTTCACCTCCTTACTTGGTCAAATCCCACTTCTGACACCAATTGTGAGACTGACCGTTGAGCGGCCCAGACCAAGCAAGGAGGCAGAGGGAGAATGTCCAAAAATATAACCCGACGTGGGCATTTATTAAAATCATGGGTAACACTTTATTTTGATAGTCCATAGTTAACACTCTACAAGTCATCAGTTGACATTCAAAAACACTGTTTCAACAGACAACTAACATGCATTTAACTAACTGCCAGTAGAATATAAGGTACATCTCAAGTGTTGATCTATAGATTTTACAACAACTGTCTGTTGACTGTCAACATGTTTTTTGCAACAGGTTATTAACCGATATTCAACCTTACTATCTGTAGATTGTTCTTGTGAAAAACCTTCTCAAGTGAATGCATTAGGCTTCTGTATTTATCTTATATATTAGTCAAATAAAACAGGAACAGGTGTTTCTAACTCAAACATTACATACATAATGAATAAATAAAGTTTGTGATCAGTTGTGCAAAACATTTCGCTTTATTCCCATGTCTGTTGCATATAATTAGTGGATGAATGTATGTGTTCTGTTGATAGGTTATAGACTTTCTACTGTTCTCAACTGTGTTTCACTTTGATTGGATAGTCCTAACACATGCCTACAAACGCTTAGTGGAGAATGCCTACTAAAAGTATACTAATAGTCAACTCTAGATGAGTTGACGATCAACAGATAGTCAACTAAACTCTAAAGTTGCTTATCTGTTGATCATCAACTCATGCTTAATGTAATCTTTAGTTGACATCTTGACTCTCAACAGATTATCAACAGATAGTCGACATGACCCAGTTGACTTTCAACTGACAGATTGATTTTGAGTAGTTTGTCAATTTTGAAGATGTTGACACAATATACAGATAGTAAGGTTGAATATTGGTTAATTGCTGTTGACATGCTACTAAATGTCAACTGATGACTTATAGAGTGTTAAATATGGACTATCAAAATAAAGTGTTACCAAATCATGTGCACAAAGTTCACAGCCTCAATCCTGCTGTTCTCCTTGCACACATCCTGCAGCCACAAGGATCTCACACACCCTACCAGCCTCTCAACAGACAGGGAAACAGAGCCTAAATACACACACTCTAATCAGCACAACAAGACACAGGTGAGGGGGGAGGAGACAACACAGGACACCAGGTGCACACAATCATCAGCCACAGACATCAACATATTATTTGCACCCTGATTACTCTCAACCGCTGTCATCCTTACACCAACATAACTCCTCTCGGCGCTCTCGCAAACTCCCCTATCTTTTCAGGCGGAGCCGAGGACCCGACCAGCACCTGGCCTGAAGCCGTCAGTCCATAGTGACGAAGTTACCTTCATCACACCTGTATTACATATAATTCTTCCTGGAGCAAGGGAAGTCAGATGACACACACCACACACACGCAGCAGGAAGTGTCAGACTTAACAAGGGATTTCTACACTTTTATATGTAATTATGCAAAGAAGATTGAGAACATGAAGCCCCAGTACCGGCTTTTTTTATTGACTAAAGGATAAATATCTTTATGTATGAATCAATGAGGAGAGTGTTTCTATACATTTCTGTTTGCGGTCTAAGATAGGCCACCTGTAATGTTTTACAGGTGGCCATGTTTTCTTAACGTGAATACGATGGATTTTCATCAGCCTTGGTGTCAGGACTTTTTTATGCTGCATTACAGTCACATTTAAATACATAGCCTACATATCATTTGTATTATTTGCATTTCTTAGTTTGCACATAAGATGTCAACAGGGGAATTATATTGAAACATTAAAAACTATGAAGGACTGCATAACCTCATTTATATATGTGTCCCATTCACTAAATATGCAAATCGTAAGAATAGTTGATTTTTACATTTCAAACACATACAGTAGTGGGTCTTTAAGACTAACAGTGAGGGAGAAAAGCCAATGTCTCAAAAACAAAAGTGTTTAAACAATCCTCCACATGTTTGTCTTTTTTTTATTTCTAAAACTTAAACAAAATGTATTTGAAACTTTGGTGGAACGATATTAAAATTCAAAATAGCTATAAAGAGTGTATAAAGAGTATGCATTGTTTTATAGTGTAAACTGCACTGTGGGAATGATATGCAGCTTGAATACCTTTCCACTAAAACAAGAATTCCTATGACAGTAAGATGAACTTGAGACAATAACAAAACAAGGAGTTAAGATAAACAGTTCAGTGTGATGTCATGGTGTCCTACGTTTACACATGTCATCAGACAGTTTTGCAGAAGAAAAATAACCCAGACAGTCAGACAGACACAAGATCACCAGGATTGTCTTACCTTCTTGAAATATCCCAAATCCACCTGTTTGCAGGGACAGCTTCAGTGAGGTGGACCACAACACAGTGTCCTCATAGTGCACCCCCCTCAGTTATTTATAGTCCAATGAGGACACCACTGATCCGGCCGTTGCGCTAAACCTTGAGAAAGCGTTTCAAAACTAACAGAACGTTTTGTTTTACTTCACACTGAGAGAAAACAAGCGAAAGTGGTCGTGCACGATGGTCTCTTTCTGGCTCTGTTTGAAAAACTGTGAGCGCGCTGCAGGAGGCGAGCAGCGCGCGGCCACACCTCACCGACCCCCCCCACTCAGCACGGGACCAATGAGGAGGCAGAGGGAGGACCGTGTCATCGACTCAATTCATGCTCCCTAGAAACTTTCCCTACACCTGTGTGAAATATAGAGATGGGAGAAGATCTTGTACTTAACTAAGTACCAGAGTGTATATATGTAGGCTACAAGTAAAAGTCCTGCAATCAAAGGTTACTCAAGTAAAAGTACAAAAGTATAAGCATCCAAATCAATTTAAAATACCAAAAGTACTCATTATGCAGAATAATATAAACCTTATGAATACAATTATTGATGCATTAATGTATAATAAAGGTGCATCTGGTTTGAACTTTGTTTACTGCAGGGTCATTTGTGAATGTTACTCTAGGTATAAGTTACGTCTTATGTAAGTGTTGTCTAAATTATCATTATTAATCCAAACCTGCAAAGTAACTAAAGATAATAAATAAATTAAGTGGAGTAAAAGTACAGGATTTACCTCTAAATTGAAGTGAAGAAGTACAAAGTAGCAAAACATTGAAATATTTAAGTAAAGTACAAATCCCCACTTAACTACATTGCTTAGTTACTTACACCAATGCAAATTAAGTAGGCATTATCAAGATCATGATAACTGCTTGTATTGATAGCTAAACCCATGGCTGTCCAGTAACAACGTATTCCTTTATGGATTTTTTTAAAATTACATTTAAGTAGATTTTAGTTCTACTAAAACTCTATTTGTCGACTGTTTCATTGCGCATGTTCGCCCCCTTGTGTTAAAATATGACATTTCAAGTCATCCTTTTCAAGGGTGTGCATTAACTGATATCAAAGTATGTCTTTCACTCCAGGCAAATTCATTAAAATATGATAATGAAATGGTATTAATACATTACATGTGAAATGATTGACGCATGGTGCATGATGCGTCATAAGCCTTTTGCATAAATGCCCTTTTCACACACACACACCTCAAGAGGAATGCGGTGACACAGGCTCCCTTTGAACTTTGGTTTGACACACACTGCAGACGCCACATTTAAATGGCACTAATCCTTTGCAATTGCATTTTTCATGTTATAAATACACTTTAACCCTCCTCGTCTCAAGTCAAGTAGTGACGTGGCACTAACACGACTGACAAGATGTGATACGAAATCTGTTTACAATCTGTTTTACTTTGAGGTTATTTCATGTTTTTGGGTGATTTTTATGTTATCCTTAAACTGTAAAATAAGTTACCTTTTTTAGATTTAGCAGCAATATCAAGACACATTGTCCAACACAACACAAAGCTATCTTTGCCCTGTCCAAGTTTACTAATTAGATTGTGGTTGAATAGGATAATGAAGCACACATGCACGCAGTTATCAGATTTATTTCTCATATTTTGCCTTCATTTAAGTTTTCACAGTTGGTCCAAGATACAGTAATCCTGCAAAGCAAACTACACCTGGACCATACTTCTTCAGCTACACGGCCATATATCTAATTCACATGGATATATCACAACGCGAGCTTCTTACTTCATAGTCGGTAGTTTGTTTTGGACCCATGATGTCAAACAACATGCTGGATTTCATCCTTCATTCAACATTTTTTATGCATTTTCCTGGCAAGTGTTGTGCACCTGATTAAAGGCGGATCACAAGCATTGCTTAATTTCTTCCACAGTGATATTGTGTGTCAAACATAATTATAAAATCATTTTACACCTTCATAAACATCCTTCTAACCCTTTTGAATCAATTTTTTTTGTAAAAGGAACATTATACTTATCCTTCTTTATCAAACATATATTATTTGCATCATAGAAATAATGTTAACATCTTATAAACAGTATTTCTTTTCTTGAGCATATCACACTTACACTTCAGTATTGACAGACAATTGGATTTGAGGAATGTGCTTTCTTAGAAGTTTGTAGGTTTTTTAAAGATTCTTTCAATGATTACATTGTCCATGACTGGAAATGTGACACTGTGGGACATAAACTACATATTAAGGTCTGAAGTGCCTATATCAATTTCATAATATTTCCTTTTTTGGGCTTTGATTATTCAATATTATTGGCGAAATGGTTCCAGAACCATCATGAAACACAAATATGATCCTCTTCAAGTCACCTTTCATAGTTTCTGTGGCCTTCTGGCATAAGTCAGTCAGCGAAAATGTCCACATTTCCAATATGTCATATACCAAATAACTTAATTTCTGCAGTTTGGGGCTAAAAGTTGAATGCTCCTTGCCCGGTAACCAACATACAGCAGGCCTCTTGGTTGGCTGCCTCAAGAGAAGAAAGCATCTTCATGAAACTCAAAGCCCTCTCCTTTCCTTCAGGTATCTTTTATACAGCAGTCTTTGATTCCTTCCTCACCATCACCTCTCTCCTTGATGACGCTTTCTATGTCTCCTTGTCCTGTATAGGAAGGCTGGAGCGCACCCTCCGCTTCTCCTTAAATCGACCCGAGCGTGACACATTCATATTCCTGCGACATGTCTGCTCGTTGAAGACCGACTCCAGGTGGGAGTCATCGTAGGTTTCATCGCTGAGGAGGCTGGAGCCCTTGTTGGACCCTTGGAGGTTGTCTCCTGCAGGCTTGGAGGCTGCTGGGTCTTTCTGCTTCTCGGGCTGCTGTGCAAAGGGGTCAAAGTCCTGGTCAAGGGAGTGGGGTGTGTCCTTAGGGCCTCCACTCTTTTTCTTGGGCAGGAATGCCTTCCACCATGGGATCCTCTCTGTCATCTTGGACTGGAGGGAGGATGCTGGAATGGGGAACAGATGCCATCAGTATTTTAGTTGAGATCTTCTCCTCTGCATCAGTTTTATTTTAAGAGCTGTCATTTTATTTTGAGGTCATTTGATCTTCATGCTCTAAACTAGCTTCTAAATATCCTAATTTCCCATAAAACATCAAATAGGACTGAGCTATATGACGATTTATATAGTCAAAACTGTACAAATATGTGAATTGTAAATATTTCTCCATTTGGTTACCATTGTGGGTTCAACTATAGGTATAGCTTCACCGTGTTTGCTTATTGTGCACTAAAGTTCTCCTCATGAGAAAATATTCAGTACTTTTCATTTGTCAAGTAGTTAGTCAGACAGAAGTATACATAAATAAGCTTTACCCTGTGCTTATTTGAAATAGACAATTTTGTAATCAAATAACCAGAGAAACATGATATATTGTGATACCTGTTTTGTATTAGAAGATCTTGACCATGTTGACGATCCATATATCTAATTATTACTTAAAAACTCTCACACATCATCATACATCTTGATCCTATGATATTCAAAACTCATATTATCTGTTTGGACATCATGATTTGGCCCTTTGCTAAATTTGAATATGATAGGACCTGCTATCTGGTAACATTTTCTACAGCTGACACAACTTCTCACCAGCTAATCCTCAGAATAACCAGTGTAACCATGCTTATCTTCTCTGTATAACTGGTTTCATGAGTGGTAGGGACAGATAAACAAACCCAAGCCGTGATTCACAGAAGCGCAAAAAAAGTTGTCGTGAAAACTCACCTGAGCTACAGGAGTGCAGTAAAGTGTGTGGACACTCAAAACGACCCGAGGCAAAGTATAAATGTTACACTTATGATTATTCTGAGATATAAATCCACAGGACAGGTCAGTGTCGTCTTCTTCTTCAGTGGTGGACAACAACTGTGTGACAGCAGTCCTTCAAGGGGTCGCAGCAGTATCCATTTCAACGCCACCTCCAAAACATTTCTTTAGCTGCTCTCGCCAAATACTCTTCTACTTCTGCTGTTTCTTTAGAATAGTACACATCAATTGACACATTTATAAGGAGAGGCTCTCTTTCACTGACCCAGCAGGTTTCCGCCTCCGAAACTCTTCTCGCGGAGCACCTGTCCTCACTCCTGATTGGATGAGCCTGCAGGTTGTGTCACGTGTGACCCAGCTCAGGTGAATACACTGCGAAGGTAGGCGGGGCCTGTCGTTGCGAGGCAACATACCCCATGGGAGCGTGCTCTTCTTCAGTGACAGATTAAAAAAAGAGCCCTTTGTATCACCAGAACCCAACCCAAGCAAGGGAGCCAAATCATGCTCCAACTTTGGACGCCCAGCGGTTTAGGCCACAATGGCGTGTAGTGTAGGCCTACGCTGTACACACAAGGAATGGAATGGGACAGTGATGTTCACTCAATTAATGGTATTAATAGCGACCGATCTAAATACGTTGCAGGTTACTCAGCAGCTGTAAGCTACATGGTTTAAATGCAGGAGGGGAAGAAGTACTCGTGCAGATCTTGTATTCTACGTCAAAGTAGAAGTACTAGAGTGTAGGAATACTCTGTTAAAAGTCCTGTATTCAAAAATGTTACTTAAGTACAAATGTATTGGCATCTAAATATACTTAAAGTACCAAAAGTACTCATTAAACAGATTGACCCCTTTCAGAATGATATATATCATGTTTTGGTTATATATTGATGCATTGATGTGTATATGAAGCTCGTAAAATTGGAAATAATGTAATCACTTTATTTACTTCTGGACAGAATGTGAATTGAATCCAGGTGTATCTTAAGTATTTTTCAATTGTTGATCCTAATCTGCAAAATTACTAAAGGTACTACAAAAAGGTACTACAAAAATGTAGTGGAGTAAAAGTATAATAATATAATATAATAATATGCCCCTTTGAATTGTAGTGGAGTAGGAGTACAAAGTAGCATAAAATAAAAATATGCAAGTACCTCAAAATTATACTTAAGTGTAGTACTTGAGTAAATGTACTTAGTTACTTAACACCACTGTTGTAGGTTACTCAGCAGCAGGTAGGTTATAAATGAGAACCTGTGTTGACATGGTAGAGGGGGTGTGCAACAGGAAGAAGTCAGGAGTTTCTTGAAGTCGCATTACTGCACCAAACGTGCAATTAAGTGAGGGGAAGCAGTTTAGCCTGGTGCCG